ATTGTCTGCTACACCTGTGCTAACTTTGGTGATGATCTGAAGTCCAGTTTCAAAATGATTTTTTGTTTTGGCTGCCTCCATTTTTGGCATTGCCTTGTATAGTGTTGATTTGCTTGGCTGTGCAATAACATGGCTGCACTGTCATGCAGCTATAATCTAGTACTGAAAGGCTGTATACATGGAGTTCAAGGTAGAATGGATATGAGCAAATATAATCTGCAAAGCTTAGCAAATATTAGAGCAGCTACTGAGAATTCCTCTAACTCCCCTTGAGAGTCAATTTGTAAAATTCTTGGCTGGATGTCATTTCATGGGGGCAGAAAAATATGTCTTCCAGTCATCTCCCCTGGGGAGCAAATTCCTAGATACAGTCTAACAAGTTTTCAAGTCCTTTTTTCCCCTTCTGTATTGTTCTAGCTGCTGTCCCATGTGTGTCTTCCTCTCTAACTCCTTGGGAAGCCCAATAACTTATCTGACTCTATTCATCCACAGAGTGAGCCCAGCGGTGTCATTTCCCATGTCCAGACTCAGCAGAACTGTGGGAACCACACTGGCAAAAATCCCAGACAGAGGCAGCAGGAAGGCGTCTAGAAATTAGTTTCTAGATCCCTTAAGCTTCCACAGGCAAGCCCTTTCTACGTGCTCTCACTCCGCAGTAGAGTTTCAAGTGCTTTACTGTAAGATCACATCATATGCTAAATGTATCCACCCACAGCTTACCTCCATGCCACCTGTGAAAAAAAACAACAATTCAGGTATCATGTCTCAAATGTATACCTGCCAGAGGAGTCTATTCATTATTAACATAGAGGCCATGAAATGCTGAGCTCCATAAGTCAGTCCAGGGAGTTTTTGGTGCAGATGCTGATGTCTCCTATAGCATTATACCTGGAGTTTCCACCACTGTCATAAGGGCACTTCTGTTAACTGAGATGGGGAAACTGTCAGGCAGTGGTGTAGTTAGTACACTAAGAGCGGTCCACACTGTGACGAGAGCCTAGCACCAAGTACCTGTAATCAGAATTGGGGGACTGCTGGACTTGGAAAGGATGCTGGTGCCATGGTATATCACGTTTAGCTTATCTAGCAAAAAATGGGGCTTCATCAACAACTCTGAGGGATGCAAGGGCAGAAAGCTCTTTTTGTCTGCTCTGCTCATTGGAGACATTGCAAGGTGGATGGCAATGTTTTTTTTTTCATTCACTCAAGTAAAATTCAGCGGCACCGATACACCCTGATCAAAAGGACAACCGATAGGCCAACTGCAAGGGCAGCTGGAAGGTTGCAGATTAGACAGGGCAGCTGTGCGGGATAGATAAGACAGGTTGCGGACCAGACAGAGAGAAGGATGGAAAGGAGAAATGATGATTCATCTTGGAATCATCTTAGAAGTTCAGAACCCCTGTAAAGAAGGCGCTGCTAGGGACCTACACCACTGAGCTATCCAGCAGCTGAACATTGTTTCCAGAAAGTAGGTAAAGGTAAAGCTTCCCCTTGACATTTAGTCCAGTCGTGTCGGAGTCTAGGGCACAGTGCTCATCCACGTCTCCAAGCCGTAGAGCCAGCGTTTGTCCAAAGACAGTTTCCGTGGTCACGTGGCCAGCATGACTAGACACGGAACGCTGTTACCTTCCCACCAAGGCGGTACCTATTTATCTACTCGCATTTTTAGATGCTTTCAAACTGCTAGGTTGGCAGGAGCTGGGACAAGCAACAGGAGCTCACTCTGTTGCCTGGATTCGATCTTCCGACAGGCTGGTCTTCTGACCTTGCAGCACAGAGGCTTCTGCCAAGTCCCCTGTTCTCCAGAAAGTAGCTGTCTTTATTGGGTGTGGCAGAAACAACAGTCTTCTTGGGCACCTGTTGAGAGGAGCTTTTGTATTCCATCACCTACTCCTTCAGTTGCCTCTCAAGAAAGGGACTACAGGCCACTAAAAGCTCCTGCCCAATCAATGAAGCTTGTTAGGCTTCAAAGTGCCACACGGACAGCACAGCCAAACGCCTGCTTGCTTAATTTATATTTTATGTTATGGCTGCAAAATGTTGCTTTTGTGTTCCTGAAAAACCCTTTGGAATGTTCTTGCTTCCAGAGTTTGCACGTCCTGGTGAGTGGGATTTACATATTCTTAATGCATGAAGCTTTTGCTCTGTGGAAGACAATCAAGCGCCTTGACATGGCTGATTCGCCTCTAAATGAGCCTTAAAGGGAGGAAGACAGCACATGTCTATCCGGCAACAAAAAATACAGGAAAAGCTCCGTTTTAAATAAATAAATATAAAATACCATCTTTATTAAATTTATTCTAAATGAATTTGGTTTTAATGTTCTCCAGAATGATTTGCAAATGTACTTAAATTGTCAATGTATATAGTGTTTATACAAGCTCAGCTTCCAATATTTCCACAGCGATATTTCTTTAAATTTTACGAAACAAATGAGAAAGCCACAAAGCACCATCAAAGCAAGGTCGGGTATCTCTGAAGAGAGAGGCACAATTTACAACATTTAGTCTACTCCCCACTGAACAGCAAATGGTACACAGGACAAAGCTACGGAAGATTTAGGGAGCATACAACGAAGACTGTTGGTGGCATTTCAGTAACTTTTTTGAGCTTTGAAATGCTTCGAGTTTCTTTTGAATCTTCTCAACATCGTGGCATAACGGAGCCAGCGCCTCCTCCGAGGGTACCGAACAAGTTCCGAGAAACCCGAACAAATGCTTTCCCCTCGCCCAAACCCGCTGCGCCACTCGATGCTGTGTACTGTACTACTGTATACAATAGAAGGGCGAGGCGACTTCTTTGACGGCACCCACTTCTCATGGGCGCAAGCTTCAGCGTGACGCAGAATTCCTCCTCGGCCACGAAGAGAGTTCTGCGTGCTCTCCGAAGCCTGCGTTATTTCTGCGTCTCGAGAGATCGCAACAGTAGGAGAGATCACCTCGTCTGGGTTGGACTCGTCGAGACCCAGCATACGTTGTGTCGGCGGGTCCTCCGAGGGGACCATCTGTGGTTCGGAC